CTTTTAAGATGGGGAAGGAGAGCAAGAGAATTGAGAAACATTGTCGCCACCTAAAGATACCGATAAAAAAACATCCTAAGAAAGTCTTTGCTTTTATCTTTACAGGTGAGATGGAGAAGCTGTACACACAAATCACTGAAACCCAACGAATTAATCAAAAGGGAAAGTTACATGGCATTGTCACTGCCGATCTAAGAATCAACACTTTTAAAAAACTTTATCTCCTTCATCTCCTATTTTGTTTATTTATTGTCAGGTTAGCGAGCAAAACGGGCTCAGCACAAGGTCCAACGAGTGGCAGGGCTGGGAGCAAAGCAGCGCTTCCCCTTCCGGCACCAGCAAAGTTCAATCAGCTCAGCTGGGACAGTTGCACCATCAAAATAACTTGTTGCATGTTTTGACACGTACAGTAACTGATAACCCAATAAATGGAGGAGAATGCGCAGCTCTTGGATTTAGTCACAATTTCTACACAGCCTTCCAGAGCGATGGAAGACCTGCGAGCTGGGCATCCTGAGCAAGGTAAGTGCAGCATTAAAGGCAGCTTGCTCCCCTAGCCTGAGCCACCAGTGGTGCACAGGGGATGTACACAAACGCAGAGGAGAGCTATCTATATCTTTACAGCCCTAGCAAGTCTGCTCGAGACAGGAGAAACGCTCTGTAGAACTGAAGAAAGCAAGTAACGAGCACCCAAGCCTCAATTACAGGCTATCATCAAGAGAACCACAGAATTTTGGAAAAAAAAAAAAAAATATTACAAGAGGCTTAGCATTTAATGCTCTAAAGTAGTAAATCCACAGCAAATCCTCCTGAATCGAAATATGCCTAAGACATATTTTAACTTATTTTTTAAAGTTTTCTCAAATGCCATCTTATGCTCCCAAACAACTAAGCTCCACTGTTACATTTGCTTTCTCAGTATTGTGCAAATGAGGTTACATCCAGCGCCTCGAGTGCCCTTTTGGCATCCCAAAAGCTCTTTCCAATAAATAGTAACCAAACCATTTATTCGTATTTATCTCCCCCTTTAAACCCAAGTAACTCAAAAGTGTCCAAGAGATTAAAGCTGATGTAAGCGGTATTTTTTTTTTTGCAGTTAAAGAAAGTTTGTTCTAAAATTATGCATGTTACTGACGCATAATTTTATCACTTAAAAACAGAATGGCCTCGGAAAGGTTTTAATAAGAAAAAAGAAATACACCTCCCCATTTGTGCACATTGACTCTGAATAAAAAAGACAGCGGCTGCTGAGATCTAGCTAAATGTAAGTTTTTCATCTCAGCGTTTCAGATTTAAATTAAGTAAAGACTTACCCGGTGTGGAAATAAATTTTTCTCCAATGGTGCCTTTTCATTTTACTACCAGAGTCCACGCATGCCTTGGGATCGCTTTCTGGCTTATTTGTTCTAAGACTGGTGTGAAAGCTAAATATTACCATGCTTGGCAAACTTGGTCAAAAGCCTGCCTCTTTGCAAAAACAAGAGTATTAATGAAAAACAACCACAGTCCACATGGGAAAAAAAAAAAATCCCATCTTATCACATGAAATGCAAGTTTTATATACACCTTTGGACAGAAACAAAACAAGTAGCAGCCGCAACATCACTTACTTCCACGAGAGAATTCCCCCTGCAAACATGACCGAGCTCCTACAGACCGTGGATGGGAAGAGGAGAGCCACACACAGAAAATACACCCTGACCGGTCGTCCCTTCCAAGCCAGGGACGTGAGTGTCTGATTACACTACATCCCTGGGAGCACGGTGCTTTACCGGCAGCAGCACTGCTACCAGGATAGGGAAAAACACCCTTTAAAAATGAAAACAAGCTATATCAGTAAAAGTGCACTTTTGCAGATAACTGCTTCTACAGCTGGGACTTCTGCTGGCACAGCTATGTCAGTCACGGGTCACACTTCGTCACAGCGCTCACACACAGAGCTGTGCCAGCAGAAGTTTGCCATATAGACCTGGTGGGAAACTCAACAGCGACTGAAATGAATCTGCAAAGTTTTGTGTTTTTCGTGCTGCTGCCAAACTAAGTTTTTCTAACAGTCTGATGATGGGTAGTCTTACTCCTGTGCTGCTGACACGTTAGGATCTCGGCTTCCAAGGACAGAAGAAACCTAAACTTAGCTCAGGAACGTGGCAATACCTATCAGCCATTTACATTGTACTTTACCCTTCAATTAAATACACAAACTAAACTAGAAAGAGCCCCTGTAAGAAGAAAAGATAAAACGGAATAAATTAAACTCTGCTGTACTTCAGCACTCGGAGCAGACCGCCCTCACTTTTAATAGTAAGAAAAGAACAAAACTGAAAGTGTTTAACTGGATTTGTTCAGCGGACAGCAAAGCGCTGCAAAATTCCCACCGTTCAGTTAAACCAAACAGTCAAACTGAAAGGGGGCTTTTGCCATCTTCAATCTTCTTTGAAGACAGCGGGCAAGGAGATTTAATGCCCGAATTGACGCTCAGACATAAGTTCTATTCAGATGAATTGACACGATACTGCGGTTCGTGTGTACGGTGATGCGTATTGTTATTCCAGAGCACAGAGCAGCAAGATGTCAGAAGCGCGCGCTGCCGATCTGCTCTGGAGCAAAATCACAAACTCAAGCTGTAAATAAACTCCCACCACGCTCCGTGGGGGCAAAGAAAGCTACAGGCAAGCGCTTCGGTGCCTCCGAACCCGCTTGCGTTCAATAATGAATAAAGCCGCCCGAAGCGCAGGGCCGTGGAAAGGAGAAGGGCTACGTACAGGAAGTCAGGTCAGGCTGCGGCGCTTGCACGCAGCGCGAAGTAAACCTCAGATGTAAAGCCTGCCTTCATCTTTTGTGAGGTATCGCCAGCACGTGGCCATGCCTAAAGCGGGCTGCGTTTCGGAAGAGCAACATCTGGCAGTACAAATTTCACCATCGCTTCCTATTTTGATAGGGAGAATGTAGAAATAAAATCACTGGCAGCGCTGTGTTTGTAAAGGCCATGCTCCACCTTCGTCAGAGCTTTCTGGCCCTCCAAATTGGGATACGGCTTCTAGGAATTCCTCGGGTTGTGTCACAGGGAAGACTTTGTTGTTAGAAATAATGTACTTTTTTTTTTTTTTAGGGGGGAAAAAAAAAGCACCGGGGCAAAAGCATCTCAAAGGAATGGCAGAGGCTAAAAATAGACACATTATCATCACTTTCATTATCAGCCATGTCTACACACACAAGAAGTATAACCGTGAGCAACTTCAGGATGAGGTGTTTTCCCCTCCAGGTTAGTTTTAGGTTGCGGGGGAGCGCGTTTCTGCTTGGCTGAGCAGCAGAGCGTCACAGAGAGGGGATGGCACAGATATGAATTTAATTGTAGCAACCCCCCGCCCTTAAACAAGGCCACCTAAAATTTTTATCAGCAGGCCGACTCATGAGAAGTTGTAACTCCCCAAAGCAAATACTTAGCCTATTCGAAGTTTCAAAAATGGCCTGATAAAGGCCACCCGTCTAAAGATTTCAGAAGGTCAGATAAAACTTGGTGTGGCCACAAAACGGCAGAAGGCAACCGAGCCCTCCGCCATATTTACGAAGAGTACTTAAGTTTAAAAAGCAAGCCCCAAACTCTTACAAAAACTCAGTGTTTAGGTGCATTATTTTATTTGCAAGCACCACCGCCTGAGCTTGAAGCCCAGCTTTTATTGCAGGTGACATTCCTGCCACCTTCCTCGTACGGGACTGCTGCGGACCACCGGGAAAAAGCGGCGAGATCCGCTCCTCCCCAAAAACACCCTCGCCAACCCCGCTGCCGGGTCACCCACGACGCCAGGCGAAGGTCCCATCACGGGATGCTGGCCGGCCCGAAGGGGATTGGGGCCGAGTGCTCGCGTTCGCCCCACGTCCGGGTTCGCCCCGTGGC